AGAAACAAAGTTTTTAAAAGAAAAAATATACACAATAAATTTAATTGTCTATACTTACGGAAAAATAGTTATGAAGCCAAAGTAACATACCTCAAAGGAAAGACTAGTTAAGTCAGTCTCCTAACTTTATATGCAGTGAGAATTACAATTCAACCCATGGCAAGGCTGATACTGCTGCACATCAAGATTTGAGAATCAAGTATCTGAAATACTTAAGGATCACACTTAAAACTATTTTCAGCTTGCATGGTGGTGCACCTATTATCACAGCTATGTGGAAAGCTAAAGGAGGAGGACTGCAAGTTCTAGAGCCTCGACAACTAAGTGAGACCCTGTCTCAAAACAAAAAGAGCTGGCATATAGCTCCATCATATAGCACTTGCCTAGCATGAGCAAGCCCCTAAGTTCAAGCCTCTGTACTTCTATAAAATTTCAATACCAGGCATAGTGGCACACACCTGTAATCCTAGCTACTGGAGGGGCTAAAGCAGGAAGATCACAACTTCAAACCCAGCCTCAGCAACAGACAGCAAAAACAAAATTATTTTCTAGGATAAAAATAGTTCAGAAATAGCTATTTTATATAATGAGAAAAGTGTTGATTATAACCAGGAATCTTGGGGCTGGGGATTTAGCTCAGCGGGGCACAGCACCTGCCTGGCAAGGGCAAGGTCGTGAGTTCGATTTCCGGTACCGGAAAAAAACGAAACAAACAAAAAAAAAACCAGGAATCTCTTTATTTAAAAATGTCTTAACTTTTTCAGAAAAAAATGATACCTTCTCCCTTCCAACGTGCTTGACAATTAGGACAGTGTTTGTCCATGGGAAAAACTTATGCCAGTAACAGAGATGAGGCGTCATAAAAATGAAGCCAGCAGGGAGATTTTGACTGGGGTTCCTTTATTAAGACAAATGCCCCAAGGTATCTCTACTGACAGTCTATTCACAACTGAGGTCCCAGTGAGTATGAAACCAATAGACTGGCACACTTTTTCAAAGCAATGCTGTAATCCAAGTGTTTAAAATCTATTTAGACTCTTCCCAATTATTACAAATTATTTATGCTTTACTAAGTAGTGTATTTTAATATTCAACTTTTATTTTTTGTTTTGTTTTGTTTTTTTTCCAGTACAGGGAATTGAACTCACAACCTTGCACTTGCCAGGCAGGTGCTGTGCCGCTGAGCTAAATCTCCAGCCCCCAGTATTCAGCTTTTAAAGCCTATCTATCACCTTATAGATTCACCAAAAACAAAAGACGAATAAACCTAAGATCAATCAGGAATATCTGAAAACAGTATTAGATGGTATTAAGGAATTAATTTATTTCACTATGAAAATAACATAGGTTAGAAAAAAATCTGTTTGAGATGCACACTAAACTAAATATCAAGAAATGACATGAGGTGTGAGATGTGCTCTAAAACAATTCAGAAAAAAAGAAGGGAAAGAGGAAGAAACAGATGAAACAAAATCAGCAAAACACTCATAACTACTGAAGCTGCTAATGGGGTTCCATGATGGAAAAGGACACGTTAGTAAATATATTCCAAAACAATTGTATTTGTGTCTATGTTCCATTAAATATTTCCTAGCCGGAAAATTAAGTTCCTAATTTTAAAATAGCTCCTGTGTTATCTGTTAATCACAAGCCTGAAACAGTATAATCACTCCATGCAATACACTCACACTGGTCAAATCTGGGATACTGACGTCATCCACATCAGAGACAATGCTTCCCCTACGACTGGTGCGACTAAAATAATCAGCAGCAGAAACCTTTCAGTCAGAAAAAATGAGATACTTTAACAATTAAAAAGGGAAGAAAAAAATCAGAACATTGGCCAACAGGGGAAAAGTTCTTTTCATTTTGGTATACGATAAAAGATCACAGAATGAAAAAGAAATTTCTACAATCAGAAAAGTAAAGTGATTCAGAAACAAACTCACAACTCCCTTAATTTCTTTTATTCATCTTAACTACAATTCTATGCTACAGAGATCATTTACTGCCTAAGGGAGAGCAAATCTCCCCTTAGCCAGTAAATTAAGACACCTGACTTTCTCAATAGAGGCATTCCATTCTTGCACAGTATCTATAAAAAACCTCTACCACAGTTCAGAAAATTTACAATTTATTATAGATATCTGGTAAGCATAAATGTTTACATATAATGAAGTATATAAAGTATCTTTGGCTGTTTACTGCACCTTTTCTCTAATTTCCACTTTTTTATATACCCCAAAACCAAGACATGTAGGGCAAAATAATTAAGGAAAGGAACAACACTAGCTCTTTTCAATTCCCCCAAAGTCATCTAGTTCTTTTCCCACTTTTAGCTCTGGCACTGGTTCTAGTTCCAGCTCTTCCACAGCTGGTGACTATATTTCAGATCTGAGCTCAGGAATCAATTCTTCAGAGAAGCCCTGTCTGACCACTGCATCCAAAGAGTCACCCACATACATACCCACCCTTCAATGTTCACTATCACATCACCTGAATTTCTTCTTCACAGTCCCTGGGATTTCTTTTTTGTTCCTTTCTTTACAAGTTTATTTTCTATCGCTTAAGAAATCCATTCTGGTTTACCACACTATTCCTACCACTTAACACAACTGTCACAAATATAACACGCACACAATAAACTTTTAATTAATAAATTATTTTTACCTCACTCAACTATTCCTTACTCAGCTGGACATTTACTTTGCTTCAAAACTCTTCTTCAGTAAAGGAATACAGAAACCCATCCACAAAAACAAAATAGGCTTAACATTAACAAGTTCTGCTAAGGGCTAACACAGCCAAGCAATGATATTTTTATTTACAGTATTAGTAACACAACTTGAATTCATATATACTAATATTTATTAGCACCTACCATCTCAGAATTTTGATAGTTTCCATATAGTAATTCATTTAACCCATACGTTAAGCCTATCTACGAAGACACATCTCCAGTGTAAATATAAAGAAACTGCCATTCACACAACTTATATGCAGAAGTGGAAGCAAGACCAGGCATCATATTCATCTGTGAACATGAGCACCGACAGGCTGGTGAAGGGACAACAAATGCTGTAATGAGATGAATTTTTGGCACCAAATCTCACAAACATTTAGTGTTTCCTTCCTGTACGAAAACTCTTGAGTGTACAATCTTTCACATAACAAGACATACTAAATACTTCATATTTTTCTTAAAGAATTATAGCCTCTTTAGGGTTCTTTATTCTAGCGTCAAGCTCACTCACAGTCCTCAACAGTGTAATCACAAAATCAGTTCCTTAAATGTAACAAAAATGCCATCAACTCTCTATAATAAATTCCCAGCTTCATAAAATAAATTGGTGCCTCATCTCTTTGAGCACTCACACCCCACTGTTGAGTGCATTCCATATTTTCCTCTAATAAATCTTTCTCATGCCCTTTTTTAGAAAAAGAACAACCTGAAATTCTACTATTTGTATTTTAATAGCTATTTGTTATCTCTACAATTATTCATTAGATGAATGTCTGAGAGTAGACTTTCCTAATTTTCCCTTCAGTAACTCATTTAAAAAAGTTCATAGGTCTCAGACAGATAAGCACTAGTTAAGCTTAAAATACAACAGAGAAAAAGTGATAAAGCTATGTCATTTGTAATCCATACTTATGAGTTTACAATGATAGAAGCATTTATTCACTTCAGAAAAGTAAAAACTCCAATGACTTCATACGTATGAGACATGAGAGCGTGCATTCTCAAAAATATGACATAAGACAAATTATTCACATAAATTAATGTAAAGAAGCACTCACTTTTGTCAAATATAAATTTTACTTTCCAATAGATTTCACATGATCACACACTATTGTCACCTAAGTCATTATATTTGTTTACATACAAACCATGCTCACCACACTGTCCCTTTGCCCACCACTGGCACGATCAGAAGACACAATGCTCACGTTGTCATCGCTGATAAACTATAGATATTAAATGCAGATAATGAAAAAGATTCAACTTCACTATAGTCTTACTTGATTTTAAGCACATTAGGAAAGGTTTTAAGAAGCATGCACACACTCTATAAGCATCATAACTGACATAATCTAGTGCATGCCATTAAGTAAAAAACCTGTTACAAGGCACAACATAATGAGCTATCCTTAAAAAAAAAAGAGGAAAAAAAAGGTATTTCCAAAAAGTAAAAGGAAGAAAGTAAAATTTTCTTTAAGTTAAACAAAGTGGGAAGCCTGAATGAACTAGCCAAAACTGGCTAGGGATATCATATCTTTTCAACCTCTAGTCCCTATGTGATCCTATGAGGGGTCAATAAATATACTTCATTTTTCAGTTTGGGAAAGAAAAAAATATATTTTTAAATGAAAAAATATATATCAAAGACAGAACTTCCTACCAGCAGGAACACTGAAGTGTTGATTCTTATTTGCCTTTATTCATTCCTGTGCAACTAACTGGACATGCTTCTAGTGTTACCCCACATGGCAAGCCTTCCTCCTGCTTCCCCCACAGAAGGCCCATCTTCAGCATGTACAGTGTAATCCCCATTCTGACATCACTAGGAAACCATTCTGGTATCATTCAGACAGTAACTGAACCTAAGCTGCAACAAAGCAGGATCTAGGCCATTCACGAGACATGGTCTTGTACTTGACTGAAAACGTATTATCAAATCTGTTTTAAGGGCCCACCACATCTGGGACTTAAAAATGTTACCAAACCCAAAATGCCAAGTAGAATTTTATTATATGGTAGGTTAAAAGTTAGCTTCCTCCTTGTGTGTGAAAAAGCTTTTATATCCTTAAACATCCCCATGAAATCTTTTTTTAAATATAGGATTGGTATTTTTAAAAATTGCCACTTGGGGCTGGGGATTTAGCTCAGCGGCACAGCGCCCTGCCTAGCAAGCACGAGGTCGTGAGTTCGATTCCTGGTACCAGAAAAAAAAACAAAAAAAAAAAAATTTTTAATGAAAATTGCCACTTGGAAATAGCAGAACTGAACCAATCATAAATGTAAAAAAGCTCATATAAATCATCTATTCCACTTTACAAAGTAATCTCTGATGATCATTAAGAAATTATTTTAATAATTCTCCAGTTGTGACATTATTAAAGATAACAAAGTAGTCTTAAAGTCATCATTTGCCTTTGGGAATGCAAATTAGTACTGGTTTTTTTGGTTGTCAATATGGTAATATATCATAATTAAAATTTATCTTCTTTTACCCCATCATTTTGTGATATACAATTTGTGTGACACATAGGCAGGTATGGTGGCACATGCCTGTAACCCCAGCACTCAGAAGTCTGTGGCAAGAGCACTGCCATGAGTTCCAGGCCAGCTTGGACTACATAGAGAGACCCTGTCTAAAAAGAAAAGTTCACCACACAATTATCTATAGTAGCAAATATTTACAACCTAAATAAACACTGACTGGGAAATGGTTTTCAAAATGCATAGCTAGAGCCGGGGTTATAGCTCAGTGGCACAGTGCACACTTGGCAAGCGCAAGGTTGTGAATTCAAATTGCAGTACCCCCCCACGAAAAACGGTAAAAATAAAAAACGAAATGCATACCTGTGTACTTAGGGAATAATATATTGCCATTATAAAGATTGCGCTAGTAGGAAACTACCTCTAGAGCAATTAAATGGAAAAAGTAAGGGACATGGCTTGTTAAAAAAAAATTAATGTGAAAAGAAGATGAAACAATTCTGTATGAACAGATACAGAAAAATACTTTAAGAAGACAAGGGGAAGCAATGCTTATGTTAAAAATAAGAAGTACTCATATATAAAAACACTCTGAAAGGAAAAGAGGTTCCATCTGAGGATTGGTATAGAGGCATTTACCTTGGATTTTCCTTAATTTATGTTATTTTTATAAACTAAAAAAAAATTTTAACATTCTAGAAAGACTACGCAATTAGAACTGTCACTATTTTGTTTTCTACTCAACGATTTTTAAAACTTGGTTTGTTTTATTTCTTCTCCTTCTTTTTTTTTTTTTTTTTTTTTTTTTTCTGGTACCGGGAATTGAACTCACGACCTCGTGCTTGCCAGGCAGGCGCTGTGCCACTGAGCTAAATCCCCAGCCCTATTTCTTCTCCTTCTACCCCATTACAAAAGTGTTAGTAGGCAAGTGAAATGGCTACATGTAGGAAGACAGGGAAAACATGGCAGCCAACTCAACAATGAGTAGATACTACTGCTAAAAACAGAAGAAATTTCACACAAATAACAACTAAATATAAAAACTTGAAATTTTTCTAGTGGTGACGATTCCAGACTGGTTTAAGAAATTATGTGCTGCTGGGTATGGTAGCACATGTCTGTAATCCCAACACTTGCAGGCTGAGGCAGGAGGATCCCTGTGGGTTTGAGGCCAGCCTGGGATACACAGTGAGTTCAAGGCCAGCCTGGACTACAGAGTGAGACCCTGTCTCAAAAAAACAAAAACCAACAACAAAAACTCTGTGCTGAGTCACATTCAAACATAAACTATCAATTAATTAGTACTGTACTTGATTTTGTATACTGAGGGAATACCATAATCCATGCACAAGAGTGAAACACAACACATCCCCAATATTCTAACCAGTGCATACAGATTAATGACACACCAAAAGTTCCTATATATAGCATGCAAAGAAACTAGACAGCTCACCACAGGACTGCTTCGGGCTGAACTTGTTCTTGATGAGTAATAACTGTATTCAGATGGCTATAAAGTTTCCAAGAAGAAAAGCTTTACAATAGTGAGCAACTCCTTTTTCTTTTGGGAATACATTAGTGACCACAGGTCTAACCTGACCCCTATTCCCAGGGTGAAGGTAATTCTGTGGTCTGGAACTCAAACCTACTCCCACTCTGAGGATCCACCAGCCCTCCTAGAGGAGAGAACAGTGTTGCCCTAAGAAAAGCTGCTCAGACCTCTTCAGGAAAAGCTACTGAGCAACAAAAGGTTTCTCCACTGACTCCCCTCATACTTAAGCCATGATTTCAAGCAGGTTCTTTCACAAAGTTTGAGTAAGAGTCACAACTGGTTAGTTGAGTGAATAAATCACATGTTGTAATTACAATTGATTAAATAACTTTTTCTTTGTAAGTAATCTGTGCCCTCCCATATCATCCCCCTCCTCACAACTTCCCCATACAGACTTACAGTTCGAGAACCATAAGGGTTATATAATCCACCACTGTATAAAGATGCCTAAAGAACAAAAGAAATGCCATTTATCTATTTAGTATCAGGCTATTTGGAAAAATAATTTTCTTCTGAAGTAATCAGTTCCAAAAGTTTTGAGGAATGAAGACTGAAGGTAGTAACATTCTTCTGTATGCACAAATTGCTGAATCAGTCTCATAGCTTAAACTCATATTTCATTATAATAGCACCACTGGTTATAGTACTTGTCTTTCATCATCACATTACAAAACTAAGAGAACTAAGATTACTTTATTCTCTCAAAAAAGAAAACAGCAGAAAAACAAACGGGTCAGAGAACATCCTGCCGATTGTCACATTAAAATTAAGTAATAAAATCTCAGCGTCCCAGTCCACTAGTACAGGTCACAATATAACAACAGCTTAAAAGCAACCAAGTAACAACTTGCATATTACACAGAACTACTGTGTTAGCTTTCTAGTCAGCTTGCTTTATTAAAATACAGATTAACATGGTCAAGGTCACAGCTGTCCCAAAGAAAAACAGGACATCCCTTTCATGGGCAGCCATCTTTCAAAAGTATGTGTGGTGGGACCCATGCAAATCTACTTCTTTGTAGGAAACATATTCTAACCAACAGTCAGCAGTGTCTACTTCTGTAAGAGGAATATCCCTATTCTTAATGCCCTGAAGTTTTTTATATTCTAAGCACTGACAGCACATTTTGCAATATACATGGCACCAAAGCCTCCTTGACTACTATGGAGGAAAGCTTTTAAAACACAAAGCACCACGACTGTGGCCCCAGAGCACTACACACAGCAGAACAGGAAAATACAAACCAAACTAGTACTTCTCAGCAGCCCAGAATGTGGAGTAGGAGAAGCCTATGAAAAAAATGCATTATTAAATCTGAAGAAAAGCAACTAATAATTCTAAAGGCAACATAGTCTACAGAAAGTACTAACCCTTTTACTCTTAGATGTCGCCAAAGGGTCACTGTAGAGGGAAGAAGACTGCTAAGAAAGAAAGACAAAGCAAAATAAATAAGCAAAAACAAAATTTGGTCTTGGTATCTTGACAGCAAGAAGCTTATAGTTTTATATTCCATAATTCATTAGTGCTTCCTGCCTGTTTAAACTAGTTTAGAAACACATGCACTAAGAAACATGTTATTAGAAACTTTTTAAAGTAATTGTAAGGAATAAGAATGAAAATCATATGATATAGTTTTCTATAGATGCATCTAAGTCCTATGGGCCTTTGAATATTATTGTTAGGATATGAGATGAGAACCTAAGAAAACATTAGGGAAAAGAGGGCCACAGCACTGAGAGTGTGGCAAATGGCAACCACGTTCCACTTCCTAGCAGTTCTTATCGTATTTTCACTGATGCCATGACAAATTTCTAATGGGTTTAGACTGGTTACTGGGACACAGAGCTGAGTTACAGCCACAAATACTCTTTGCCAAACAGTTTAAAAAACTGTTATGTCAAAACAAACTGTGGACAAACTGCTTTAGTTTAATCAGATATACTGTACCAGTCACAATGAATCCATGTACTGAAACAGCATGGCTTTTCAAATTTTTTTTAAATTTTTGTTAGTACACGTTGCAGTACACAATGATTACATTCATTGTGGGGTGTTGGCACTTGTACATAACACATCTTAATTCATTTGCCTTCCCTTTCTCTCTCCTTCTCCCCATCCGTTCATCTCTTGGTCCCCAGTGTGTTTTTTAAAGGAATAAAATATCATTTCCTGATGTCATCTGAGAACATAATTTTCACATCTTTTTCACCAAACCTAATCAGACATAGAAAATAAGAGTACTAAAATTATGTGTGCATGTTTTACAGGTTACCACCACCACCACCACCACCCTCCAAGTTCTGAGGTTTGAACGCAGGGCCTCACACATGCTAGGCCAGTGCTCTCCATGGAGCCACACCCCCAGCCCTGAATTATTCTAAATGACTCTGTGCCATACGCTGAATATAGGTTTTAAAGGTATGATATCTTAAGTGTTTTAAAGACAAACAAGAGAGTCTAATATTAAACCAACAATTACATTCTTCCCATCTCTTACACAGTTTGTATTTCCATGTGTAAACTTTTTTAAAGGGCACGCATCTTATGAAATATATTAGTGCCTATTGATTCATTAGTTTCATTAAAAGGCACACTCACAGGGACTATATGAATTCAAAGACCAAAAACTGGTATGTACACAGCCATTTGTCTATTAGTTACAATAATGTCAAAGTGCAAAATAGGGGATTAGAAATGTGTTAAATGTGGATAAAATACATGAAGGCAAAAAACTTTAGACAGACCCGAATGTAGTATGGAGAGGTAGGTTTGCTATGTTTAAGACAGCTATAGTTCCTCTGATCAAAGTAGAGGCCACTCTGCAAAAAGAAAAATGAAACACATTTTCCTAGATTAAATGTTGCTGACGTAACAACACAGATAAAATCTGAACACATAAAGGCAAAATGTGATATTGCCAAATTTCCTTCTTTAAAACAATGCCTTCTAAAATGCTGGATTGATTATATTAAGGTCAATGTAATAATTATTTCAAGTCTATCAGAAGAGTATTAAAATGTAAATGTTTCCAAACAAGTCATTACTAATACTTCATTATTTTTATTTTGGTACCAGAAATCGAACTCAGAACCTTGCATTGGCCAGGCAGATGATGTGCAACTGAGCTATATCCCCAGCCTACTTTATTACTTTAAAAACAAGAGAATAAACCAGTAGACAAATGTAAATAATTTATTCTCATTTCATACTTAAGAATGTCCTTGAAAATTCTAGAACAGCTGAATAATTACTATTTTTATAATCCATCTGGCAAAACCACAGAAATGACTAGCTATTTGAGGCCAACATCTCCTACTCCTATTACTTGTCAAAATAAACTGATGAAATTAACTTACAAGAGAGGAAAGGAGGGACAAAGAGAAAAAAGGAGCACACACTAAATATGGTTTGGTCTAAAGTATCTATAACAGATTCATTTCCAATACCCTGTAAAAATAAGTCAATTTTATATAATGTGATTACTTGAAAGAGTAAAATTATCCATAAAATTCCCTTTCCAACTTCTCTAGCCATCGTTTTTACCCAGTATTAAGTAAATGTATACAATCTCTGACTTAAAAGCCTTCTTTCTTCACTACCAACCTTGCAATCAAGGACACTCTACTACCACCCCATCTCTACAACTCCTGGGCCTGCCTTCCTAGGTTACTCTCCACTGAGATTCTCAACCAGGCACTAAGGTTCATCACTGCCCATAGCTCTCAATACAGAAACTGCCAAGGCCTCTGGCTCATCTTCCTTCCATTACATTTTTCCTTCCCAGGCTTTTCCACCAGCCAACTTCTCCCAAACCCCCAACCCCTCACTCCCATGGGAATCTTTTTATTTGGGGGGGGGTGTCTTTTTGAGACAGGGTCTATGCAGTTCAGGATGGCCTTGAGCTCACTTTGTAGCCCAGGCTGGTCTCGAACTCGCAAGGATCCTCCTGCCTCAGCTTCCCAAGTGCTGGGATTATAGGTGTGCGCCACACGCCCAGCTCATGGGACTCTTGAATTAACAGGGAGCTTGGGACTATACGTCTTTTGCAAGTCTTATGGTAGTATAATAGGAATGAGGTGTTCCTAATACCCCAAGAAAGTATTCTATCAACATTTTTCTCCTACAGAAATGTTTAGCAAGGTGATTAGAAGGGAGAGTATATTAATTACTTTTATAGTTTACTTATATTATAGGTTAAAGAATGTTATGTAAGCTAGTATGAGAACTCTGCCATTACATACTTCACATAAAAATTATTTCAGTTCCCAAAGAACAAATTTTGAGAATGAAAGCTACTTAACACTGGTATTGCCTATAACATCAAACTAAATCAATTCAGAGGTCTTAAAACAAGGATGAATCTTCACAAAAACTATTCTTGAGGTATATTCCAAAGGACAGTTCATAAATGAAAATACTCCCTTAATGAGCTTCTTGTGATTAACTTACTAACCAACCTAACTCTACCCCTTAGAATTAGGATTTGTTAATTTGCCATTAGATCTTATGAATAAAAATAAAATTGCTTTAATAAGGTTCTAACATACCATGTTTCAGCACCTTATAAAGGTTCAACAATGTCTTAGGTGCATATCAAAACAGTCATAACTCATAAATTACCTAATCACAAAATTATTAAATGACACACACAGCAGAACTAACCAGTAGGTCTTTATGAGAACCAAAAGATCTCTTCTTCATTCCATAAGATTGACTGTGAGAATGATTCTGGAAGTAAATATTGTAAGTTAACTTTAATGAAAGCATAGTGAAGGTGTTAAAATAATAAAATTCATCTAAAATTAATGCACACCAAAGTCAGGATAAGACACAGAGCAATCTACATGCCATCTATTTTCCATCTGTTAATAAATGATTCCTTGCACTTTAATAGCTAAGATATGTGGCTTCTCTACACATCATCCCTCCTCACCTCCCCTTTTGCCCAGCACCTAGCTTAGTGTCTAGCCAGGTACAGAAAACTTAATTAGGATTTACAGCCAGGCAGTATGTGGAGACCTTCACTCCACACCTCACTGAGTCCCTCTATCTTCTTCATTAACTATATATGACGAAGAGTCTCCTCCTTCTATTATCTTCTTACCTAAAAGCCAAAAGCAATCTTCTGGATCAACAAAAACAAGATTGAGCACAAGGAATAAAACATTTAGTTGCCCAACATAGTACTCTTAACCCAAGTTAGTGGCTTCACATCATGTGCTACTTGGGTAGAAAACGAAGTGGTATGGTTTGCCTATCACAGAGCAGTATTACTAAATTATGACGTATACAAGGGTTCTCTGAAGACAAGACTGTTTAAATACATAACTTTTCCAACAAATCCAGACAGAAATGTACAGAAGGGGGTAAATAACAGTAATGTTGGGCCAGGGATGTAGCAGAGCACCTGCCTGGCAAGTGTGAGGCCCTAAGTTCAATTCCTGGTACCAAAAAAGAAAATTAAAAAAAAAAAAAGAACAGTGATGTTACTAAATAGATCAGGGTAAACAATAAATGCAACCTAGGTATATACTGCTTACCTAAAATGAAAATGCATTATATGTACTCAATCTTTTAATAGCCAAACGTAACAGACCTGTGAACATTCTAGACATATGAACATGTCTAGAAATGCAGCCTGATACATTAACCCAAGAAAAACAAGCTATAACTTAACCTTCTTAGCTAATACGGCACATCAAATTAGCAAAAATGGTTGGATATCACTGATGTCAAGCGTCACTTATCACTCCTGGATATTTTCTGCTTAACCATTTCACGTCTGTTAGCTTGTGACACAAACACAAGCCTGTGCTACTGTAGTTCAATACGTATCAAAAACACTGTTAGAAGCCAGGCACAGTGGCACATGCCTGTAATTCCAGCTACTCTGGAAAGTGAGGCAGGAGGATGGAAAACCCAAAGCCAGCCTGGGCAATTTAACAAGAACCTGCCTCAAAATGGAACTAAAAAAGGACCAGGGTGTAGCTCAGTGGTAGAATACTTGTCTCACATGCCTGAGGTGCTCTCCTGGGTCTAGTGCCCAGTACACACAGAAGAGAAGGAAGGAGAGGAACAAAGAGGGAGTAAGGGGAGGGAAGGGAGAGGGAAAAGGAGAGGGAAGGAAAGTATTAGTATCGATTTTAAATAAGGGAGCAAATCATTTCATCTGAACATGAAATTCTAAAGGAAAAATTTATTATTGATAGATTATGCCACAATTATTAGTCACACAAAAACATGAAAGTCATAATCTATGATTAGCATTGGCAGGTATTAATACAGTAAAACTCAAGTCCTAACAAAAAGTCATGCACAACATACTAATGATGAAATTCTTGATGATTTATCCTTGAGAGTGCTGTACTGGATTTGAGAAAAAGGTGTAAGCTGCTGGTGTTTCCAAAGTCCAGAATACAAAAAAGAGAAGGGGGTAACATTTACAATTTAAAAATCCAGTGCTACTTTTTTTTTGTATGTCCCAATTCACCACAACAAATGTATTTATTATGCACTGCCGAATACACTAATAAAAATATCCCATAAAACAACATGCAGGCCATGTGGACATGAGCATGTCAAACAGGAGTGAACTCTGTCTAAAACCGGGTCCCCTCTCCTGACACCTCATTATACAGATCCAAATATCCCAAACCCAAAAAGATCTGAAATCTAGGCAATTTTCAGTGCTATGGATTCTGGACAAGAGCTGTTCAACTTAGACTCTGTGGCTCTTAGCTGTAGACCATGGCACAACCAGTACACCATCTAATTTTTCCCAAGTGAGTAATAATTTTGCACCATGAGCTGCTCATGTGTGATAATCCAAAAGGCAGCACTTCTGGGATGGTCTAGTGCTACTTTAAAAGCAAAAAAATATTAAACACAAAAGCTATTACATTTTATTTAATATTCTTATACATTATTATAATTGTATACACTGTTATAAATTATTGTTCAAATGCATGTGTATTTAAAGCTGTAAAAAGGGCCAGATGCAATGGTACACATCTGTAGTCCCAACTACTCAAGAGTTTGAAGACAGCCTGGGCAACACAGCAAGGCCCTATTACTCAAAAAGAAACAAAAAGGGGACTGGGGATTTAGTCTCAGCGGCAAAAGCGCCTGCCTGGCAAGCGCAAGGTCGTGAGTTCGGTTCCTGATACCGGAGAAAAAAACAAAAAACAAAAGAAAAAGTACGTTTATTTTTCTTTCAAATAACAAAATTCATAATCAGTAATGGTGGGGTGATTCAATATCAGTACATTATAAGACAACAGTCTAAGGGAACCTTTCAATATAAGGATTAAACATTTTGAAATCAATATTTTTTTTTGTTACTGTAACTATTACCATCCTTCCCATTGTTTGAAAAAGAGCAAAAGCAAGGAATGGTCAGTGTGACAAGAACATAAAACTAACATGATCGTGTTTACTTTACAAAAGAGTAACTGTAGCACTCAAATGCGAGAAATTTCCTTGGATCAACTTGAAAACACACCTGAAAATTTTCTCAAGAAAATGCTAAATAAAATTAGAAATTGGTCAGAACAAAATGTGAAGTGTACTGTACACATATAACTATGACATTAAATAAAAGGCAAAAATACTTAAAATTCATCAAACCAGACAACCCACATTTCATATTGGATTCTTTTTTAAAAATAAAATAGGTGTGACATCATTTACACATGTATAAAAATGAATTAAACAGTAACTACACAGATTTGTGATTTCCCAGCACTGCTTAAGGATTTTAGTGCACATTTAAGTAATCTTACCTAGAATGTCAATGGATAAAAGAAACAACAGCAATGAACAAATTCATAGGGTAGTATTGGCAAAAGTGTCTTTCTTTTACAACTCTTATACCTTTCTAGAATTTTAGGGAATGCTATTCAAAAACCTCATCCAAAGCAATGTTTTCTTAATAGGTTACAACTCATTTATGAAGTCAATTTAGTGCGTTCACTCAGCATTTTAAAAAATAAAATAGAAAATATTAGAGTGCTGTGCACATTAAGAGCTAATATTATTTTGTGGAACTTTTGTTTCAATAATATATTTTACATACATACATATATATGTATATACTAATACATGCTCAGGAATCTACATGTACATACTGGATCAGGTTGCATTTCTTATTGTTAAGATCACAATTTCAGAAAGCTTAAAGTAGTGTGTGATCATATCACACATTCTAGTCCTATATAAGGCGTTAAGATGATTTAGACACAATGAAGACATTCTGTTCATGCCCAAGATGGTTTTTTATAAAACATACTGCAGAAATCTCAAAAACTATACTTCATGAAGTAGATCAGGCTAAGTAGTACAATTTTACCACTGGTACAAATTCACTGAAAATGTGACTGCAATAAATGCCAAGAAGTATTAGAACAAAAGATATGCATTTGTGTTTTCCTTATTCCAAAACTAACAAAAAAGCAAGCAATAAAGAGTATCATTATTACATGTATAAAATGTATGAACTAGATACATTTTATACCTTGACTAAGTGTACACATGCATAAACAAAACACATTATTACTCAAGTCACACATGCTAGTATAGTATGTAAGTTACCCTCTCAAAAATGTAAGTTCATCGAAGAGAATGGTCATATACTATGTCTTCTCATCCTCTATGTAGCACCAATGGCATTTTATAGGCACAGGTTTTAACAAGCTGAATTGTTTCAGTTTTCTTTTTCCAAAACACAATGTTTCAATTTTCTCTTTCCAAAATGTAATGCTAAATTCAACTGGTTTCAAAACTAATGACTGGGCCTGGTGCAGGTCTCAGCAGTAGAATTCTTTCCTACTATGTATGAGGCCCTGAGTTCCATTCTCAGTTCCACACATACACATAAAACAAAAAGTTAAAACCTGCTCAAGTCTATCTAGTAGGAAAATCTGTATGTTGGACATACCAATTGCTACTAGAACTTCTGGACAAACAAAAAGAACCAACCTTATGAAGTCAAAGTTGATATTTATGTTGTTTAAAAATACATGATTTATCAGAGGAAGGAGAACAGAATAGGAAGGGCACAAGCTAAAATATTTCCAACTTTGCTATTATAAGCTACTTGAAAGAAATTCTTCTTAACTCTGAGAAGTCTGCATGAAAGTCAGAAACAAAACAGAAAATATAGCAAACAAATTATGGAAACAAAGTTCATCAAGTGTCAGTTTTTACTGGACTGCACTTATTACTCAAAACTTCAGGACACTGAAAATCAAAAAATGGCTAACACTCTTAATATCACACATTTTTCTAAATTGCACTCCATGATGTATCTCTTCTGAGTGTACTGGCTCTGCTCCAAAGTGTGCAATGGGTTCTTCAATTAAATTAAACAGTAGAGTATCAAATGACTAAACACAAACTATAAGCATATTTTTAAACTGAATTCATTAAAATTATATCAAGGGCATTGATATTTTATATAAATAAAAACTAAAAACATACAACAGTAAGAATCTCTACCAATTAGAAATAACAATTACCCTTATTCCTGTGATTCAAAATCACCTCATTTTCTAACTTTGGATTTCCATCATATTTTCTTATAACAAACCAGCGACATTTGTAAGATTTTTTTTTAAAGGCAAATACTGCTGTTTCACATGATTAATAACTGAATCACTGAACATGCAGCTATTCACAATATAAATCATTGTACTTTCAGACTGTTACTATTCTAAGTTCACAGTCCTAAACTACCTCCGCTCGTTTTATTTTTATACTGAACGTCTATAACATTTCCAGGCTAAATAATTTGTGGTAAGCTTTCAGAAAGGTGATACCTCAAAGGTAACTTCTGGACAAAAGCAAAATTCAAAGAATGCAGCAATAAAACATCTGACACATAAACACTCATACTCAGTACTGCTAATGTTCATACATCGAATATTAGACCTAAAAATATAATACCTTTTAATACACAGCTCTTAAATTTTCTAAAATAACTGGCAGAGAAATACTAGAACCTCAAAATGATATAGTAAATCATTAAGAACATTTAGGTCAGTGTTGTAGGCCATCATGTTTAATTTTATGGAGGATAAATGTTGTCTAACTTGTTCAGCTTAATGAAGATGGCAAAGTTACACTTAAAAGCAAATAATCAGGGTCTAGGGATGTAGCAAAGTAGCAGGGTATGTGTTTAGTATGACCAAGACCCCATGTTCGATCCCCTTTAGATAAAATTTAGAACATCTAAGACAAAACAGGAAAAAACTTATCTCAATTATATTTCTTTTAAACAGTATTATTAGTGACCTTTTAGGCTTATTTCTGGAACATCTACACATCTAAAGCAGCTTATGAAAAGCCAGGGAGGGCTGGGGATTTAAGCCAGGGATATAGCTTAGGAGCACAAGCGCCTGCCTGGAAAGAGTGAAGTCCTGCGTTTGATTCCCAATACCCCTTTCGCCCCCTAAAAATAAAGCTTATAAGTATACTTACAGAGAGTAAAGGCCTACAGTCCCCTATAAAATGCAAAACTTAACACATTTTCAAGTTCACACAGTAAGTTTCTAAAATATTGGTTTTCCTCTATCCTACAGTAACAAATTTTCCATAATAATGAAAAAATACTTTAAAAATTGTATTTTATTTATGATACAGATTTCATTTAAAAAACCAACCTCCATACTTTTATAGACATATTGGATAAATACTTATCAGTTCAATGACAGATTCTTTGTTATTTCTTTTTTTTCTTTTTTCATTTTTTTTCCCGGTACTGGAAATCAAACTCACGACCTTGCGCTTGCCAGGCAGGCACTGTGCCGCTGAGCTAAATCCCCAGCCCCTTCTTTGTTATTTCTTTATAGATTTGTTTTAATGGCTCCTAAATTTAGCCAAACTTAGTAGATTTAAACTTAAACATAATAAAGCTTCCTATACATATTTACAAGTAACCAGCTGGCTAAAAATGTATGAACATGAACACTATGAACATTATAATGGAAAGGAAAGAAAAGTGTCATAAATTAAAAATAAAAGGAAGGGCTGGGGATTTAGCTCAGCGGCACAGCGCCTGCCTGGCAAGCGCAAGGTCATGAGTTCGATTCCCAGTACCGGAAAAAAAGCTGGAAATAAGTAAATAAATAAATAAGTAAATAAGTAAATAAATAAAAAAAAGGAGATCACTTTCACAGCCACTGACACTTAATTTTGAAGCCTTTGTTGACTCACTATATGATTCTTTTCCAAGTATTTAAAAAGAAAAATCAAATCATGGCTAGGAAAAACATGACAAATTTATATAAGTTTTCCTCCTGAAAAATCACATATTGTATAATCCACTGCTTATCTGAGATTTCCATAAAGGAAATAGTCTTAAAAACCTAATTTTGTAAGCAACCAAAATATTTATGAATAAAAAAAGTTTACAAACTTACTTTTAAGACAGAAGATTACAATCACCAAAAGAAAACAAAACAGTATATGGACTATTTATGAACACAAACATATCAGTAACTAATACGCCAGAACATACTGAGGTTATGCAAAACTTAACACATTTTCAAGTTCACACAGTAAGTTTCTAAAATATTGGTTTTCCTCTATCCTACAGTAACAAAAAGCAAATAATCAGGGTCTAGGGATGTAGCAAAGTAGCAGGGTATGTGTTTAGTATGACCAAGTGCATATTTTATACACTGTGCAGGTAAGAAGAAAATCAGAGTTGGGTAAAAAAATTAACAAATACAGAACTTAACATGCAAGATTATTTTACTGATGAAAAATATAGATAGATATAAACATATATAAAGTATTATCGAGCCAGGTGTCACGGCACACACCTGTAATCCCAGCACTCACAAGGCTGAGGCAGGAGGATCGTTGGGAGTTTGATGCCAGCCTGGGCTACAAAGTGAGCTCACGGCCAGCCTGAACGGCATAGTGAGACCCTGTCTCAAAAAGACCACCCCCCCCCAAAAAAAGCATTATCACTGTTCAAATTAAAAGCATTGTTTTGAAGGTTTAAAGCACAATTTTTTAAGAAAAGAGAGATCGGTGTTTCAGCATAACATGCAAGCCTTTAAGGAAATTTTCATTTACCTTGATTTACAATAATCTATGCTAAAACTCCAGGACATTCTATAAAATGTTAATCAAAAAGTTAAACCATGATAATTTCTATGCCATGTGACAATTGTGTATTTTTTTCAAATCAATACCTCAATCTTTCCCTGTAATAAAATTGTAATTAGGCAAACTCTAAACCTATTGTCCATTAATAAAAAATATTTTTAATATATAACAGTATGAGAAACCTAAAAGAAGCAAGCAGATATTATTCTATAAAATCAATCTTGTGATACTTTTGTGAAGTCAAAGGTCCTTCTACAGGAAAAACTAGGCATGTATTAGATGAAAATGATTTTAGAAATTATTTACCCAAAGCAATAATTTCAAAGAAAGCATCACTTTCTGATGAAAAAATTTTGCCAATTTTTTTTTATTTTAAAGGCAATGCCATAAATGAACATTGTCAGATTACTGATAACTGCCGATGCTGAAGAAAGCTCTCACTCATAACTTTGGCTATTGTGTTATGCAAAGAACTTAATATACAAACCCTGTGACTTCCAGGACTTCGAAGGGACAATGTACTCTCAACTTCCTTATAAAAAATAAAAACAAACATAGAAAAAGTTTGTGAGTGACTAAATTAAGTTAATGAATAAAAGTAGCAGAGGTAAGTTTATAGGTTATTACAAACCAGATAAGGACGATGATGACTGGACTGGTGGGAATACCTGGCCCTTTCTGAATCTTCCTAGGAAAGGAAAACGTAATGTAAGTCAATCACTGAATAGACAGGTGTTTATCGGAACAACGGAGCAAAAAACAGTTAACAGCACAGCAACATCTTAGAGCAAGCAGGTCTGGAAAATTTAGCTTCAAAAGCTGAACTTACAGACACAGCATGCTTTTCTTGGAAAGAAAAGAGAAATAATTTTGGCACTGTTTTTATTTTATCAGGTGCACAAATGTCTGACAACTTCTAGGTTGCTATGTATATCTGACCAAGAAAGCTCAAAACATAAAGATAGAAATAAGCAAGTATAATTAACTAATAGATGTTGAGCTCAGTATTAAAGATGATGTCTTCCTCATTGAGAATGTTAGTTTATGCAAGGCAGAAAGAAATGTTTATCACAGATACATTTTAAAGAGACTGTATACGGTTTTTAAAAACACTTGCTTTACAATTCTCAGCAGTTGGGAGTCTGCAGCAGGAAGATCCCTCAAATTCAAGGAAAACCCAGGCTACCTCCTGAGTTCAAAACCAGCCTGAACTACATAGCTAGACCCTCTCTCAAAATGATGATGATAACATTCTTAATTTTTTGCTCACTGTAATTTTTTTTCCTTTCACCATTCCAATCAGAAAAGAACTGAAACAGAATCTGTGTGTTGTTGATATAAAGAACTACTTATACTTAGAAGAATACAAATATTTTAAATTGGTAAAGTTATCAAGAGTCCTGACTTTAGTTTGTAAAAAAGATTGACCACAACCTAACAGCTGACTAAATTACATGTAATTCTAACCTTTTGCACATTCAACTATTAGCAATGAAGCATTAAAACCTGAGTCATGTGAAATCACATGGCTATTCCCTAGAACATAATCATCTGCAACCATTAGGAAAACCCGATCTTTCAGAATTGCTAAGTCCAAAGTGTTAAAGTAATTTAAGTTGACTGAAAACCTACACATAATGTCTGGTTTCACTGTTAACATCACTGCTACCTTTTCCAAAATAAATCAATGTTACAAGATTCCACGGCAATCCAGCATGATCCTTACAAAGGTGAAACAAACAGATGGAGCTCTATCTAACCATTTCGAAACAGAAACAGTAACTTAACCAAAACACCAGTTTGATGCCTCATTTTTGTTATGGTCATTGAGTATATATTTTTTAATTCCTGTCTAACACCTGCTGTGTACACTGCTGTGGATCAAATTTGTCCTAAAGTCTGTTTACAATCACCACTATGATTCAATGGCTCTATCAGGTGTTCTAACCAGGCATATTTCTTTCCTTTCTTTATTCAGTGATGCCACAAAAGTTTGGGGACATATGAGTTAGCCCAAGATACAGCTGAAGTGCTACCTATTTCTAGACTAGGGAGACTGATTAGTTTTTAAAGCACTGTACTACAGAGGTGAGTTCATTCTATTTTCCCCATATCCTGGGGTGACAGTCAAGGCTTGATGCCCAATATCCCATTTATGCTACCCTTTCTTTCCATTCTACCAACCACACAAGAGCACTTCTTAAAAAAAAAAAAAAAAATTCAATCTAAGAGCACATCCCATCAAAGATATGGCAGATAAATTCTTATTTTCTAGTATGTCTATGATTTAAAAATTCTAAAACACCTTATTAAGTACTGATATACCTCTATACTTTGAAAGCTTTTATTTTTAGTTCCATTTGAAATGTGGCCTAATAAGACTTTAGAAGATTACAGAGCAAAATGTAAATCCACACTGGGCAGTTAATTTGAACACAGAATATAGTTTATCTCATAGTCATAAACTATACCTTCAAAAAAGCACTGTACAAAGCATTTTCTGTGACAATGGAAATGTTCTAATTTGTGCTCTCCAATATGATAGTCCATGAGCCACATGGATAGTCCATGAGTACTTGGAATGCTGGAAGTGAAACTGAAACATGAAATTTTAAATCGAATTTCACTTTATAGGCTACTTTTAATTACATACACATGGCTAACTGCTACCATATGAGACATACTTCTCTAAACCTATCTGAGAAATATTCAGGTAAAACTGTAAGGCAAGTTCAAAGCAAACTTCTATTACACCAAAAACATTTAAAACTCTACCAAAAGCCTACCAAGTAGCGCCACTTTTATCTAGAAGGTGAAGCATTTAAGGGTAGTTTTAATGATTCCTCCTACACTGAGTACTTTTTACATAGTAGCAAATGTGAGATTAAACTGAAGGAAATCCTTATAAAAAGAGCTTGTCAATAACTTTGGAATTATTTTGTAAAAGCTTTAAGGGTGCTTAGATCTTTCTAATCTAATCACTTCATTTCACAGTAAAGAAAGGTACAACAGAGGATTAAGAATCTACAAGGTGATAAAAATGGGACCATTTTAAGAGACAACTTGCATTTTAAGCTCTTACCAAAAATGCTCCCCCTAGGAGAAGAGGGATTGAAGGGAGGGTAGGGGGAATGATGAAGAAAAAAAAAAAAAGAATCAAGTAATATAGTGCCAAAAATGCTTCCCTTCCAACTAGTATTTTCAATCAGTACTCTCACTGCTTAAACTGCACACATATCACAGAACTGTTTTCCAAATTATTTATCTTCATGACTGTTATGGTTTGTATCCAGATGTTCCTCCAAAGCCTCATATAGTCATAATAGGGGCTTTTCAGAGGTAGTTGGATCTAGAGTGTGTGATGCTGAGATTAAGAATGTGTGATTACTAAATTAGTTCACTGACTGGTTTCACACAGTTCTGAGTGTGGATTATAGGAAGTTCCACCCTGGGTATGAGTGCTACCTACCCTAAGGACATGTACTTTGGACGGAATATAAGGGACAGAAAGAAAGCTGTTGTCATCACTTGCTCCTTTACTACTTCACTGCTTGCTGCCTTATGCCTGCCATGAACTGTTTCTCCCCTGCAAAGCCCCTCTGTCATGCCACCCTGCCTTGGAGCCAGCCAACTATGAATTGAAACCTCTACAAACTGTGAGCTACTCTTTTAACTTTAGATGTTGGGTATTCTGTCTCAGCAACTAGAAAAGTAACCAAGACAAGGGCCCTTGAACACAGAAATCAAATATTAAGACTTTTAATAAATACTTTTTTTATTAAATGTCTTCTGGTCTGTCCTAAGACATAGGCAATAAATTTTAGGCAATAAATTTTAGGCATTTTTTAGAATTGTAATGCAGATTAAATATTTCTATAGGAATTTTGCAAATAACTGTGATTTCCTTTATTCATACAAATAATTTTAAAAGTAACACTAACCCAGATACATACAGAAGATAGTCAATGAAATTAATTAGGCTAGCTTTTAGTTACAACGGCCAGTCTACTCCAAAACAAGAACATACATGAGAAGTCAATTTTAAGTTACCAAATATCTTTTTTCTTTTCTAAAGTGGTATCAAAATGAGAATAATGATGAAGTTTTAAATTCAAAGGTCATCACAAACTTATGGCTATAACTTAAAATGCTACTATAGAAAGGGTTTCTTGTGAAAGTTGCTTTTTATTAGCCATTACACAGTAGTTATTAACCATTTATAAATCACAGACTTGAGAATCTAATAAAAAACTTGTGAGCATTTCCTATAAAAATGTAATACATTCAAAAGTTTGTATGAGATTTTCAAGCTTCATAATCTACCCCCCAAGCTAGTCATGTACCAAGTTAAGAACTCTGACAAAAGGAGACAGTTGATGAACTTACCAACCTCGAAAAAAATTTTAAATGTATGAGTCATTCACAGTAACATTCTACAATGGTTTACAATGTGCTATTGTAGATAACAAATTTGACATTGGTGGCAAAGGACTCGAAAAGGAGCTGAGTACTAAAAGTAATTTTCAGAGGGCACAGAAGAATGATTTGAGTCATGTCTCAATGAAGACCCTATGAACTTAGTTTTTTAAAGGAGACAGAGTGGGGCTGGGGGTATAGCTCAGCTGCACAGTGCCTGCCTGGGAAGCGCGAGGTCGTGAGTTTGAGCCCCAATACTGGAAAATAAAACGAAAAACAAAAATAAAAGAGACAGAGGGAGCAGAGGAAGGAGGAATTTGAGAGAGAAAAGGATAAAACCATGAAGAGAAAAAACACATTTGTTTACACACAACCATTCTTGAGCAGAGGCATTCATGTGATGAAAGCAAGGCTACTGACCACAACAGAAAATTACTGGACTCTAAGTACACATTTGGTCTACTACAAACAGAATATATACTCTCTGACCCTGAGATTCACTAAGGCCAAACACTCTGAAGACTTTGCAAACTATTAGTCAATGTTTTACATCAAGATTGCATTATTTCAACAAGTTATCACAACATGCAGGACAGGCAATCCTAGCCTACCAGCCACTTGTGAATTTGTCCCCATTTCCGGTCAAAGGAATGATGAGAGTGCTACAAATGCAAAAGTTTCATAAACTGAATTTGTTTTCAACATACTACATTCTCCAAAAATTCTTAAATCAATTACATATACTTTCTCCAAAGAACAATGATAGCTGACTTAGACATTCAAAATATAGGAAATTACTAGACTAAATATGTTCAATAATAAAAGGACATATGGTTCTTTGCAGTTTAGAGAACCATAAATAGAACTTTCATTTAATAATAATCTACTTATTACTATAATCTGAGAAGTATAAAAAACAATATATTGTAATATTTACATTCTGATCAAGAAATGTATTCAGTATTAGTGCTTAACACTGCCCCACAGATATTTCCCCCTTTGTACTAATATCAAACATATTTTATGGGAATTTTTAGGGCCCAGTCAATGTTAGAAGAAAAGGGTAGAATCAGTATTTCATAATCCTTCAATTATGAGCTATGCTGCTATAAACATTGTTATGCATGTACCACTGTCCTATGGTATCTTTAACTCTTTTGGGAAAATACCTAGAAGGGGAAGAAGGGTAACAGCTGGCTTAAATGGAATTTTTAGTTTTAGTTTTTTGAGATCTTTCCATACTGATTTTTCTGCTTTGTTTTTCTAAATACAAAATTATAATGAACATCTTTAAATTACTAAAAAGCATAAGAAAAATATAAAATCAATCCTAACTCCACACAGTCATATCCAAGTATTTGACGGCAATCACTTCTTTCTAGTACTTTTTGATCTTACAGATGGATAATGGTTTTTGTAACACAAAGCTGGAACCCTATCAATTGTATAGTTTTGATTTTTTTTATAGTTTCTTACATGAATGAATTATGTTGCAAAATTACAAGATTGAATAACTTCACAGTGTATTACTACATAGGCATCATAATTCAAATTTCAGGACATGTAGGTCTATACTAAGTAACTGTCATCTCTAAAGCTACTTTAACTAACATAAGAAAAGCATTTATAACACCATAATAACTAATAACAATGTACACAATAAAAGCTATACATGTTTGTTATTTAAAACAAGTATTTCATTTATTTTGTTGACAGAAAGAGATTTGTTAAAATATAAACATCATCACTTCTAGGCCTTTTGGCTAAGATCAAGTATAAAATATGAACATCAGTTTAGAATATACCAGTGTTTCAAATGGAACCAGATTCACATCATAATTAAACTAACCAAGTACTGATTTTGGGGGTCAATGAATAAGAAATTAGGGTTATTCCCCCTAAGTTACCTCTTTTTGTTGTCGTTCCAGTTCTCTCATGCGTATATCTCTTGCTTCTGCTCGAGCAGCACGTTTTGCTGCCAGCCTTGCCTCTGCCTGAAAAGTAATATAAGATTCAACTTTACAAAACAAAAACAAAAACAATCTGTACATCAGATTTGAGGATAAAAAGCAAGTAAGACATTACTTTCCAAAGGGGCTGAGAAGACAAGATATATATCAACAAGTCTGACCAATTTCTTCAGTTACCCTCTATAGATTGCTTTTTTCCCTAAGTCTCTCCCTCTCCTCAAATCTGAGCCATTACCCTTAACTGCTTGCCTCGATTACACATTTAACATAGTTCAGCGTTCATTACAAATCTCTCCAAACTTACTCTTTTCCACCATTTTTTCTCTTATCAATTCAGTCAAAGCAGAAATTTCAAAACTAACTGTAGTTTTATAGTAGTTATTAGCAATATTTAGTATCCAAGTAGCATAACTGACAAAGAGAATTCTCTACCACTGAGTATGTCAAACTCTCTTTGTTACAGGTTCTCTCTCCCTGTTTCTATCTGTCCTGCTCTCTCTTTCTTCCCCTCCTCAGTCCTACCTCCCTTTCCTTAAATTGAGATATAATTTACATATCATCAAATTCACTAATTAGAAGGGTAAAATTCACTGGTTGTTAGTAGTATATTCACAATTATGTGCAACCATCACTACTAATTTAAGCTTAAAAAGAAACCATGTATCCTTTAATAGTCACTTCCTATTACACTTTTCCCTCTAGCTTCTGGCAACCATTAATCTACTTTACATGTCTACGAATTTTCCTGCTGTGGACATTTCATATACAGTAATTGGATTCATGCAGTAGGAACATTTTTATCTCTTGCTTGGACTACTGCAACTATCTCCAAATCCATCTACATATGTCTGGTTAAGAATCTGCCTTATGATTTAATTTTTACATAGTTTTTAAAAACTAGCCTTCCAAAACAAATGTCTGATAATTTCACTCAGCTATCTAAAATCCTCCACTGGTTCCCCATTACTTATGGCTAAAGCAAAGGTTCCTTGGAACAATACAAACAAAAGGAAGAAAAAGAGACAAAATCAGAAACAAGATTCCTCATAATCAGCTCCCCACCTTATCTCCCAGAACTTGCTCTACATGAACTAGATGCATACCATCTCCCTCTGTTCCTGGCTATAAGCCTCTCTTCACAGATTATCTGCTTTTAGGACGTGCTCTCCCTTTTCTCAAATTCAGATAAAATACCACATTCTATGAAACTTCCCCCTTTCTTTCAACCAGTAATAGTATACACCAGTGATGGCAAATCTTTTAGAGCTTTCAATGATACAAACAGCCAGGGGCTGGGGATTTAGCTCAGCGGCAAAAGCGCCTGCCTGGCAAGTGCAAGGTTGTGAGTTCGGTTCCCGGTACCGGAGAAAAAACAAAACAAACAAACAAACAAAATGATACAAACAGCCTACTACAACACATGTTCCATAGATTCACCACCATTGGTATACAGTCGTGCCTCTATTGTGGCTTTATTACATTCTATAAATATTACATGCTTCTGTCACCCCATAATTTTTATGCGCAATGTCTGCTAAATAAGCAAATGAATTTTAGGCCATGGGCCAGAGTAGCAAAGAAATGAGATATGGAATTAATTTGATATACCATTGGAAACTTAAATACTGTATCTTTTTTTCTGGGTTTTTATTTTGTAGTGGTTTCCTCTGCCCTTAACCACATTTTAACTCTGGTTCAGATTATCCCGTGATAACTACTGTAGTTGCTTCTTTCCATGTTGTCTTATTTGTGCCCAGTAAGAATTGACTTGGCCAATGTTTAAAAGGGTCTACTTTGTGTAAGCAATTATGTTAGGTGCTAGAAATAGAGAGTAAGATATGACATCTCTGCCCTAAAGCAACTCACAACCAAAGTTGAGGAAGACATTTACAGGGAAGAAGGCACACAGGACAGAGAAATTAGTTTTGCCTAACATAGCCAATTTAGGCTTCCAAGAAAAGCAGACAGCTTAAGAGTTAACTCCTATTTACTCTGATTTTGGCAATTCCCCAGTCTATTTAATTGGCCTGCTAGTAGCAAAGGACCTGCAAAATAAATTGTAATCCACAGACCTTCATTTACAACCACAGACATATCGAGAGCAATTGGTATTCTCATATGACCAGTGTAATCACTGGTCTCTATCTTTTCAAAACCTATGCCCTACATCAAGTTATCCACCTTCTTTATCCCTGTAGACTGGACACCACTGTCTACTAGAGTTTGTATTTTATAGGAAAATATTTAAAACCTAAGCTGTGCTTCAGTATACAGCAAATACGTATTTTAAACTACAAAAGTAACAAAACTTTCAAATCTTTTAAAATTTATAGCCATAGCAATGACTAAAAATTTTCATTTCCAAGTATATTAGCTTTGTACCTATGGTCTCTCTTAAAAACTTAATTCAAAAACATCAGTTTCAGCCTGGTGGGGTGGCACAAGCTGCTGAGGCAAAGTATTGTCACAAGTTTGAGCCCCACTTGAGCAACTTGGCAAGACCTTGTCTCAAAATAAAAAATTTTTAAAGGGCTGGGGATGTAGCACCATGAGAAGGCCTAGATTTAATCCCCATCCCCCAAAAAAGCCAATTTCACCCTTCTAGGATCTCTCTGTGGCCAATTTTGCATAATCTATACAGAAACAGGGCATCTCTAACAAAACCTAAATTGAAATCTGTTCAATCACTGAATCAATAGATCACTGAAATCTACTCTCTAGTAAGACATCTTTCACAACAAAAGAAAACAAAACACGGGTTTCAGAGACACACAGGCCTTCTTCTCTTTGTTAATTATTCAACTTTATCCTGAATTCGGATGTTAGCTCTATTACAGAGTGTGGAAGAAAAGCCACTAAAATAGGGACTCAAGATGTAAACTAGTCTATCTGCCTCTTTTTTTTTTTTCTGCCTCTTTCTATACATTGCTACCAGGTGCCTGAAGTAACTCCAATAACAAGAACAGCCGGACATGCCTGTAATCCCAGCAGTCGGGAGGCTGAGGCAGGAGGATCATTGTCAGTGCGAAGCCAGCCTGGGCTACAAAGTGAGTTCAAGGTCAGCCTGAACTGCATAGCAAGACCCTGTCTCAAAAAGACACACACCTCCCCTGGCAAAAAAGCAAGAATAGCAAGGAGCCAAGGCTGATACCAACTCACTTTGCAGAAATTTGAGACCAGCAAGTACTATATGACTATCACTGATGTTCCAGGACAGACTTTATCAAAAACATGATTATACTTATATATCTCAAGCTAACTATGCTATCCTGCTTGTTGTTACTAGTGTTGGTAAACTTGAAACTCGTTATCTCTAAGAACAGGCAAAGCCATCAGCATTTACACACTGGGTATAAAACAAGTAACTATTGGTATTAACAAAATTAATTTCATCAAGCCATCCAATAAGCCAGAAAATATACAAAGAATAGTTAAGGAAGTTAGCATTTACATTAATAAAATTAAGTGCAATCCCTATACAGTAGCCTTTATGCCAATTATGATAAGAATAGTGACAATATGCCTTTTGACTCACAAGGTGGAAGCAGAACCTCACTGCCTGATGCTATGGATTACATTCTACCACTAACTCATAAAACTGACAGGCCTTTGTATCTGTGCCTACAGGATATCTATAAAAATGAGGGTACTGGCACAATCCCTATAGTCCCAGCAGAAATTGGTGGGCTCAAACCTAACATGGCAGTACCTTTGTTTTAATCAATGCTACAACTGAAGTCTGTGTAAATGCACTATGAAGCTTTGAGTGAATCTCCTCCTGAAAAAGATTGTCAAAACATGGTAACATTGCTGGTGACAGCAATGACCCACCAAGAGGAGCAGCTGACTTTACTACTCAGGTGATTATCCTGAACCATCCAGGACATATCAATGCCAGTTGTACTCCTGTAGTGAACTGTCACACAGCGTGTAATACTTTCAAGTTTGCTGAGCTAAAAGACAAGATAAATCATTGTTTTGGTAAGAAGCTAGAAGATGGCCTTAAATTTCTGATATCTGGTAATGCTGCCATCATTGATAGGGGTTATAGGCAAACTCATAGGTGTTGAGAGCATATCTATCTTCCTTTGTGTCACTTTGCTATTTATAATATGAGACAGACAGTTGCTGTTGGTGTCATCGAAACAGTAGACAAGAAGGATGCTGGACCTAGCAAAGTCACCAACTCTGCCCAGAAAACTCAGAGCACTGAGTTGTACGATTATTATCCCTAATACCTTGTACCCTAACTTTACTCAGTGGTAAAAGAATGGTCTCAGAGTTCACTGTTTCATTTGGCCATTTAAGTTTAACAACAGAAGACTGGTTGATGCTACTAATGCACTGTAAAACCTTCAGAAGTAAATGAGAATATTCTATGGACTATTTCGCATTTTGTATGTAGAAGTTTTAAGTCATAAGTTTGGTGTTTCATTTTGGTTTTTTACACAAAGTCTCACTATATATAGTTCAGCCTCACCTTGAACTTGCTATGTGGCCCAGACTGGCAATCCTCTTGCCTCAGCCCAACTGCTAGGATCACAGGCATATGCCACCACACCTGGCTCTGCTTTGGTTTGTTTTGTGTTGATGTTGCTGTTGTTGGTTTCATTATTAAATCAATACATTTTAATGGAAATAACTTAAAAATTCTGTCAAAAATTCTCAGACTCACTCAAACAGAGCCAATGAGAAACCAAAAAATAAACATTTCACAACTACTGATGGTTATAATAAAAAAATTTAAGCCTAAGTTAACTATAGTTAGCAAAATATGGAAAATCAGAACACTGCTCATACACTGCCACTGGAAATGTAAAAAGGTATAACTGCTTTGGAAAACATTTTGGGAGCTCCTCAGAAAGCTAAACAGAGTTACATAACCAGCTCAGTTCTGGATATAAACCTAAGAGAAATAAAAATGTACGTCCACATAAAATGTTCACAACAGCACTATTGCTAATAGTCAGAAAAGAAGAAATATAAGGCTAGGGAAGCAGTTTGGTGGTAGGGTACTTTCCTAA